CTTGCAACGTCCAAAATTTGCTCAACAACCATGGGGAGGAAGGATGTTCGGGAAGTCCTGAACAAGTCGCCACAGTCTTCCATGATATTCTGTGTAGTACACAGAAAATTTTGGTTTTTTCCGAATAAGTTATAAATGAAATGTTTGCTGTCACGTTTTTGTAGAGCAAGCGCTAGATCAGATTTCTTCATTCATGCATCATGCTCCTATATGCATCGGTCTTGCATGAAAGAAAAAGTCGCAAGCTAAGCTAGCATAACCCTCACTCAAAACAAGTTTTTAGACCTGATTAGTTCGGCATTCTGACACGATTTCGTGATGCTGTCTTGATTGGTTGGGGAGCCTGGGCCGTGTGACTCACTTTAGTACAACTAGTTCCTTTTGGCTAATTCTAATATCCCGAATATTCGCGCAACGCCGGTTACGCTCTGTGGTAATGAGTCATCAAGGACGAGTTTCACGGTAATTGTCATTTCCTCTGGAGTGATTCGAGAACTGGCCAGCAATCTAATTTAGGAAATCGGCAGATCGAGTTACCCGAAAACACCGAAAGTAGGGAACATGTAGCGCAAATGCTTTAGTCCAAGCGTATGCAGCTGAGCTGCAGAATCAGTCTAAAGCCTTATTGAGCACCAGAACCTATGAAGCAGCCATGAGTGAAAAGCTGCGCCGGGTTTTGTCGAGGCATTTTGGGACGCGTTATAAATCAAAAATATGAGCTGGCGTTTGGCCCACAAAACTCCGACAGAAAGCATTGGCAGCATGAGAGAAAAACCGATTATGACTGGATATGCTCCAATCCCAAGCAGAAAGACAATTCCGCCTGCCGCTTTTGTTCTACTGCGGTATAGCTTTTTGTTTGGGCCAGCAGAATATACAACTTTGAGGAACAGCGTTTTCTGACGAGGTGTCGCACTAAGCATAATGGCAATCATCATAAGCCCCTAGAGAAACTTCATTACCTGACAGCAGTCACGTTTCTAGAACTTGAGTATGTAAATTTCGTTTGCTCAAACCTATAAGTAGCCTCCCAATTGCATTTCATTATTGCCCGGTAGTCTGACTGTGCACCACCACACCAGAAGAAAAATATGGTTTCTGACTAATATCTTTATTTCGGCTTTGGAAACCTTCTCTCACGTTCCTTTCAAAGCATACAAGTACTATGGAAAGCTACCTTGCGTGGATGCGTCAGGCAGAGCAGTGGCTCTGCGTGCCAAACCGCACGTGCGAGCAGGCGATCGAACCTGAAATGCAATGACTTTATTTCAGCGTGGGTCAGTTGTGAATGCAGGATTATGCTAATGTCTGCTTTGCATTTCACACAGTTGTGTGCACTTGTCGGCAACACGCAACAAAAGTATGACTTTTTGCACCACTCCACGTCAGCTGTTGGATTACCAACCAACGATTATGACATACCTGTGCTAGGCGTCCTGAAAATCGCAGCGGAGCTACGTGATGAGTATATGTGCACGCAAAAAGAAGGACCCTTTTTTCCACTACAATTCACATTCAATACATATGCATTCGCGGTACTTCCTGCTGTATTACTTGGTAACTAACGAAGTACTCTATGCTGATGATTTTCACATCAGCTCGCATACTCAGGCAATAGCATGCGCTACCAAGATTGGCCAGAGCTGCGATTCTTAGAGGATTTGCCGCTATGTTGAGCAACCTACGAACACAACAAAGGCACTACAATTTTTCAAAACAGATTGCGCGGAGGTTAATGTTCCATTGCTAGCCCAGAAGCCATTGTCAATATGTGGTGAATAACATGTTCCCGTGCTCAAAAGATAGCTAACAGCTGTGAAACTCAAAAATGTTGCGGGAGTGGTAGCTCACGAGACGCCCGCTTTGAAAACAGCATCCAGCGCCTTTTTGTAAAAATATATGGCACAAATAAACACGCAAGCCTGCGCCAATAGAGGAGAATCGGTTTACCCATAATATGGCAACACACAAGTCTGCGCTAACAGTACTCGGGCAAAATCCGCATAATCTGTTTCTGGCCTTTGTATAAAATTCCATACTAATTATGCGAGAGTCAGATTGTAGAAACAAAAGCCACGTAGCTTCTGTCTCTACATTCTTTTGGCCATATAGATACTCCTGTGTGTGCTTATCATACCGGTGTATGATAAGCACACACAATAGTATCTCGGCATAATCCAATGACTCTCAGGTTTTTGCTATGAATAATGCGGCAATGTCCGCGTAATCTGTTCACGTAGAAAACATATATGGTTGATCCCATTGCTTATCGTATGTCTACTTTCAACCAAGTATGTCTTACTGGTAACCTCGGCGTGCTAATGCAGGCGAAGAATTTTAAGCGCATCTAGCACTAATGTGTCGTTGAACAGTTTTCCTTAGTGTGGTGTGCTGCTTCATAATAAAAGTTGCGTGCGGACATGGTATAGTTCCGTGCGAACATGGTATATCTCATATATCTACCTTCAACAGGATGTATATTTTACTGGTACTCGGCCTTTTATGCAGACGAAAGGCCTTAAGCAGAGTTAGCACTAATGTTCGCCTGGACAATTTTCCATAGTGTGGTGTGCTGCTTCATAATGTGTGTTCCGTACGAGCATGCATACCGTTGCGTGGGAACATGCATAGCGTGGTCAAGGGCTGTCGAAGAGAATCTTTTCCTCACCGTTACTAGTAATAAACAACACATGCTGTTTTTATCGACGCATGCTGGAGCCGCTAAGAAAACCAGATGTAACGTGGATAAAATTCGCCATAACTCCTCTTTGATCTTTTCAACACTTCCACTAGGACATTACAACTCGTGCTTTTCCTGAAATCTTTGCCCTAGCTTGTACATATCTGCATTTTCTTTTATGCAAGAGCTGGCTACCGCCCATTTAAGTTGTCCCGTTTGTTTTTAACGATTCCCGACAGGAAGGACCGATCTCCATATAACCGTCGATTGCGAAATGAAAGTATAGCATTAAACTCAATTCAGATGGCAGCCATTTCTCGCACTTTTTTCTATTTCTACCTCTTTTTCTTACACTCCCGGTGCCTGCATATTTCTGTTTTCAGTTTTGCTTACTTGCGTACATAGGTGTGGAAGATTACGAATGGCACAATTTTACATGCCAATATCTTTGCTTTACTACCGACAGGTATATCTTATGAACATGCACTGGCGTTAGCCAATGGCATTCACAGGCGCCGTCCTCCCCCTCCGGCATATGCGTCGTCCTAACAATCTGGCCATGCATATTCTGGAGATGTACGCGATACCAGTGGAGTCTCGGGTCAACTGTTTTGCGGTAGGCAATTTTAGGAACGAACCTCTGGGGCAATAGCAGCGAATCATCTACATGGATTGCTGCATCTGTAGGCAGCCTAGTTGGTTTTTATTCTGCTGTGGCACGCTATGGATTGCTGCATCTGTAGCCAGCCTAGTTGTTTTTCATTGTGCTGTGGCACGCTAACCTTTGTTGAATTCTTAAGATACATGCAGCTGGCTAATAGGTCGGCCTAATGCAGATTGTGTCCCATTAGCGTCCTCTGGGGTGCCTCTCACGTCCGCGTTGGACAGCACAGATGCATGCATGCCAACGGGACATGCAGCGGCTTCCCCCTCTGTCACTGACGTGCTCCCTAACCATATGCGCGAAGCGTTCTTCCCGTCACTGACTTGCGCGCTAACCATATACACTAGCCGTCCTCCCTATACCACCCGCAGAGTCAGCGTAGGTCAGACTCAGTGTAGGACATGCGCGCTAACCGCATACACTAGTCAAAGTAGCTCTATAGCGAGAAGAGCTCGAATGCCCCGTCCATAGACTCAGCCGCACACCTGCCCTGCAGTGCAGACCACGACGAATTTTCGAAGATGCACCGGAGCTGTTGAGCTCCTCTAGCCTGAATACCAGAGCACGTACTACTCTTGCTTTATAGGTGATGTACAGTGCCTGTGCATTTGAAAATTGGCTTCCAAAGGCTGCTGGATGTGCCAATTGCAATGGACGTGCAGTCGAGCTGCTTTTTATGCGAGGTGGGCACATAAGTTCGATCGTGACCAGCGTGTGCTTCTGTATATACGAGGAACAGGGTATTCCGGAGACCAGGCCGGAAGTACCACAATCCAATCTTTGGCAATATGGAGAACAGCAACGCGAACTGAACCAAAGAGACTGAGAGCGAAGATTGAATTGACATTTGAATTGTGAAAATTCGCTCTTAAAGTCTCTTGCGTGCGACACACTAGTATTGTTAACTCATTTGCCACATGCGTTTTACCTCACATAAGTGTTGTAGCTGACCTAAGGAACAGCTCCGCGAGAGGGAGCTGTTCCTATACCGATGGGTGACACTTTTCGATGTCCTTTACACATATTTGCTGGACGATTATGGGGTGAACATGAAGCAGGAAACGGAATAGCAGCATGGTCTAGCAGCACGCCAGTAAAATCGCGGAGGGCAATATGTGCAACGGTTCCGTCAAGGGCGCTCAGGGCCCCCTGCATGAGCATAGCCAAGAGTCCCGCGCACCCGTCCAAAATGCACCCAACAGATCCAGGCCGCCGTTATTTGCAAGCCGCCAAACAAGCCACAAACAGATGCATAAACTCCAGCCAAATGAGTAGCAACTCATATGAAGCCTGTATATCCATAGCTGTCAGTTGCTTCACCACGTACCTGCCTCCACAGCGGCTCCCGCCTAGGGTGGCCATCACCTGGCTTGTGGAGGATGCATTCAGTATTTCCATCAGCTGAGCGTAGCTTTAGTAGGTACCTGCTTCCACGCCAGCTTCAGGCGCCGCGCTTACAACGTCCGGCAATTTAGGGTAGGGTGTTAGGATGCTTTGAACACACAAAATCCCCGTCAACTTTTGATAATACGTAAGAGCGAACGCTAATAGCCAGGGGAGGCATGACGATGCAAGTAGCCCTCCTATGAACGGACGTCGTTGGGGAAGCCGCAGTGTGCTGTATTGAAGGTTTTCAACACTATATGTGTAGGACCTATGAGTTCCAGGTCCCTTGGGACACCTGAGGAACCCATAGCCCTCACAGTGGTCGAAGTTTCCGGTTATCATAACCACCTGTGTGGTGTCCCCAGAGTTGTCGAAGTTTCCGGCTATCATAACCACCTGTGTGGTAAACTTTGTCGTCAAACAGCAGATTTTGCTCTGTACGAATTTGATGGCACACAGGATGTGCATGTGTTACGCTTGGAAGACTAGGAGTAAGCAGCCACCCCTGTGAGAGCGACTTGCAGGCTCCCACTCTCTTCAGCTACTTGAACATTAGCACGAGCGAGGAAACCTTTGCATAGCGCTCGCACCACATTCGACTGAAATGGAGGTAGGCTGTGATCATTCAGCATTTCATGACTTAGGTAGCAGATGTGCCGTGGCGCGACGAGGTGTATCGAGCCAGCAGTGCAGTGTGTGTGAGTATGTTTGTGTGTGTGTGTGTGTGTGTGTGTGTGTGTGTGTGTGTGTGTGTGTGTGTGTGTGTGTGTGTCCTAGGAATGAAAAGACGCTCATCATATACCGTGTGACTGCGATGCTCCACTGCATTGCCCACTGCCTCTGGAAATGAACAGGCCGCGGAGTAATAATGAATAGGGTCGCACCATGGTGCAATTGTGTACTCGTAGTTTGAATAGGAGTACAACAAAATCCCGAGGTACGTGAGAAAGCAAATCATTCCAGGCATGGCTCTAGGGCACATTCTCTATAGCTGATAAGCAGCAGTCAAAACCATTTAGGTTAGCAGTGCCAGAGACCAGGCAACGGGTGCAGGACTGCGAGTGGCATGCCAGTAGAAGCTAGCCTTAATGAGCGTGTACGCATGTACCATTTGGTCGGTTGGCTTACGGTAATTGATCTCATTATGGATATATTGGTAAAAAAAAAGCAGAAGTGAACATAGAAGAGCTGGTGGTGCTGAAACAGAAGGGGAGGCGTTGCAAAAGCAGCAGAGAAGGCGTTCTGTTACACGAATTTTCCCCGCGGTGCCACTGCTGCCATTTCACATGCTTCCTTAGGCACCAAGCACATGCCTATAGGCAGGCATACACGACGGTGCGAAAACCTAGTCCTTCGTGGCAAGACAGCGACCATCGCTGGTAGCTGCGAGTGACGAGGATAGAGGCGTCTTCTGCCCAAAACTGCTCATGAACGCATCCTGGGTAGCCCCGCATAGGTGGTAATATATCGAGTGAAATGGAGCGTGGTGCTTGTATGGTGCTTCGACTAAGGCTCTGCTGGCAAGGGTTTAAGCTAAAGTTCTCGCGGAAAGCCACTGAGCTGTTAGAGGAACTCCCAGTCAAGGACAGAGTATATCAAGGGAGCCTCATCATGCGGCGTACGCACAACGCACAGGGTTACACGTTGCCTGACAAGTTCATGAACCAGTGAGTTCTAAAGGGGTCCCGCCGGCAAAACGCCTCCACGGGATAACCGATCGTAGAACGCGGGCGGGGAAACGACAGCGGCTCTCCATGTTGCTCGTGGCCGCAGGGCCTGCGGCTGCATAGCACTATGCCTGTGTTTCCGTTCTCGACCTGTGGGCTCGTAGTCGCAACATTCCTTTACGCGTCTATTTGTATACGATCGGGTTGCCGTATGTCCCCTTTCGGCGAACTGTCGCAGAACCCACTTGGAAAGCAGCGGAGCGGAAGCATGCTTTGTACGCCATTAATCGTCACTGCTGCCTCATACTAGGGAAGGAATCGTACTGGATCATTCTGGAGGTATGCATAATTTGGCACCATCCAGGCCGGCTGTGCAGGGTTGGAGGTTGGTGTGCTCACAACAAGGTCAGATCTTCATCGGTTCCAGGGCATTGATATCTAACCCAAGCCCCAGCGTCCCTACTGGAACGGTTGTTTAACTGCTGACTCACCCACGGTCCATATTGTGGTGATATTGTGTCTCAGTCGAACTAGTCGAAAAGAATGCCCTGATGAAGAATTGGCCATGAACTAAGTTGCATCCACTGGGGAACAGGTCCTGGCTATCGTCAAGAATCGACGAATGTTATGGCAAGGGCAAGCAGGTGAAGGAAAAAGAACATATCGCAGTTAGCAAACTCTGAACGTCCAGCCGCTGGACGGTTCGGCACCCTCGTGTTCGTGTCTGTTGGAACGATCGGGGTAGTGGTCCACCCGGGGTGTTGGTAAAACAGGATTATATCCTTCGTCAGCAGCACATTATTGTAGAGTTTCAAATCCGTGTACGCAGTTCCGCAGGTTGACTACCTGAGTACGGCGGATGAATGGTATCCATGGGGGAAACATCGCGCTTCTGTCGCATTGTATTTATCCTTTCAAGAATCATGGAGGGTTATCGTTGCCCCTCTGGCAGCCTGGTGGGTTCTCTGCTAGAGGGCTATGGCCCTCTAGCAGAGAACCCACCAGGCTGCCAATAACGCCTAATTGGCGCCATTCTGTTGCATCTGCATTAAGGTGCCCTTTGCTTTTGTATGGCTGAGCTGCAACCATTCTTCAACGGGATGAGCTGTACACTGTCCGCAGCAAGATAAGAAAGAGAATGTTCCTCTGGCGAACTGGTATGCCAATTATAGTGGAGTATCTGCAGGAGCTTGTGGTACTAGTTGTTTCTGACTTGGGTCTTATTTCTGCGGGTACGGCGAGGATGATTCACCCTCCCATCAATTTATTTGCGCAGTCTCTTTGGTTACGGGTGGCGTATGACGAATAGAACACGCGAAGTGGCACCGAAAGGCTCACCCTCTTCGTACCCTCAGAAATAAGATCCAAGTCAGACAGATCAACTAGTATCACAAGCTCCTGCAGATACTCCACTATACCCTTTTCCGAATTTCAAAGTGCCGAAATACGTAGTTGCTTTGTGTGCTTCCTTGTAATCCTTTTCTCTGTGGTGCTTGCACTGCCTGCCCAGAGATTCATCTTCTTCGTCGTTTCCAAATCCGCCGCCTCATTTTTCAAGTATACCATCATCTCAAACATCTTCACCTTCAGGCTTGTGAAAGCTCATGAACCAGACAGATTGCCGCTCCCTAAAGACCCTGGTGATAACTATAGATATAAAATTTTCTCGTAGACTGCTGGATTTCTGTTAAGGGATAAATGGCACTTTTAAGTGTAGGGTTCCACTCATAGTTGCCCTTCCTCCAGCTATTTCAGCTGCGGAACGGACTGTTAATAGCTGTTCCCTTTGCACCCCGGGGGGCAAACGTGTAACATACAGCATCCTCGTGGGGTTTACCCGGAAGGTAAGCGCCTCTGTTTAGACAAGGCCACCACGTGCCTGTCCCCGTTTCTAAGCAACCGCAACTCTCGGTCATCTGGTGATTGATACAGCTGCTCTAGGCTGGATAGAAACTCCTTTGCAGCCCAGGCATCGCTGCCACCATCGTGCATGGACAGAAGACGCACTTCAAGGCACTACCAAGGAGTCCCGGTTGTTGTGAAAACATGCTCCCTTTGGGTTTGATGGATATGGAGCCCTTATCATGCCGCCTTGGTTTGGGTGTGGGGTTCGTTGCTTGCAGGTGTCAACGGAAGGCTATTGGTGCTACCAGGTATAATGACAATACATTTTCTTTTCAGCATACGACATTTGGACTATGACCTTTGAGACTGAGGCATGTTCTTGCTTGGAGACTGAGGAGGGGGGTGATATGCTGTAATGACCTTTGAGATTGTATGTTCTTTACAGCATGTCACCCCCCTCCTCAGTCTCAAAGCATCCTGGGTGCAGTGGCGGAAGTGCCTGCAGCTGCGGAAAACTGATTGGGAAAATCGTTGAGTAGCTCTGAGCTATTCAACGATTTCCTCAATCACTTTTCTTAGCTCCACTAAATGTTCGTATGCCAACATGGGACCGCCTCGAGGACGTCCGGCAACCCTGTGCTACAGCGTGGCATAACATTGTGCACGGAATTGAGAGATTGAGGCGTTCCCCCCAATCTCTCCTCCATGTCATCTCCTCCATGTCATCCACTTACTCTGTGGCTTAAAGTACGAGTACCAATAGCCTCATTGTTATCCAAAAGATGTGAACTCTATGACAACGAATTTCATTCCCTGGCGCTTCGCTGCGTTGCTATGTCCTTCCCGTGCGTGGGGCACCAGCTTCCATTGGTGGTTTCCAAATTTTAGTTTCTAATATTAAATAGTATAATATAGTTCAGATGGTATGCATTGGCTCCCAGGATACCTACGGCGGGCAATACGGTGGTGTCACTTGCATTCTACCAAAATAAGGACCTGCCTTCCCCTAATGCGCTGTATTCTCACTAATTCAATCGTATTAATCGCATTGCCCCGAATATAATGGTAAGTTTGAGGGGAATCACGGTGGATGCGATACATGAGATAGGTGCAGTGGCTCGCAATACCCAGTGCTTGTCTCGTCCTGAGGAGGGTAGGGGCTGTTTGAAATTTGTAATTGCGATTGTACTGCCATACTTGGATCCAGCATATAAAAAATATAATATAAAGCTTGCCATCGTGCTCGAGAAAGAGTGACTTTGGAGCGCTGCGTTAGGCAATCCTGCTCGCGGCTACGCGGGCTTGCCGATACCAACGGCTCTTTCAGTTACAGGCATACGCATCGGTGGATGGGCCCTCTTGGTCTGATTCCCAGTCTCCAAAGATACACTATGTATTTTCATCTAGTGCAACCGTTACTACCAATGCAGCCCCTAAATTTTGAGCTTTTCTTCCAGTCCGTAGTTTCGAGTGTGCCTTACATAGAGTGAGCCTCCTCTTCGTGTGCGCACCGCTTTAAAAGGTGGCTGGAAATATAACGAGGCGCACTATGCATTTCACCCAGGAGGTTGGCATTAGTCAAGATCTCTGCTTTGTCTACTGCAAGTGAAAAGCGGAGACAATGTCGTCTGTAAAGGTTGCTGTGCGGGTTCGTCCCTTTAACGACCGCGAGAAGAATATGAACGCAATTCTTTGTATATCCATGGAAGGGAAAAGCACGACTATAGAAAATAAAGATGATGCAAAAAATCCAAGCAAAACTTTTGCGTTCGACTACTCATATTGGTCGCACGATGGGTTTGAGGTGGACGATACAGGGTACTGTAGGCCAAGTAGCACTAAGTATGCAGATCAACACAGGGTATATCAGGACGTAGGTAAAGATGTTCTGAACAACTCATTTGAGGGTTATAATGCGTGTCTTTTCGCCTACGGTCAAACCGGAGCTGGAAAGAGCTACTCCATGGTTGGGTATGGTGCGAATAAGGGCATTATTGTCCGAGCGTGTGAAGAAATATTCCAACGCATACAACAAAATGCAGACCCTAGCCTCCAAGCTGAAGTTCTAGTAAGCATGTTGGAGATATACAATGAGCAGGTGCAGGACTTGCTCCAACCAATGGACAAGAGACCCAAGGGAGGATTGAAAATCCGGCACACTCCTCAGTTAGGCACATTCGTGCAAGATCTAAGCAAGTGCCCTGTGGACTCGTACGCAGCAATTCAAGCCAAGTTAGATGAAGGTACTTTACAGCACACTCACCAGCCTGAGCTAGTGTTTTTCCTGAAAATTGTGGGGTGTACAGGAGTGGGACTCTATTTTTGGATTTCCTGCAGGCACAGCTAACCGAACTGTTGGTGCTACGTTGATGAATGCCACATCGTCTCGTGCCCACACGGTTTTACAGATCTTCTTCCGCCAAGTCACCGTAGATCGTATGGTACACAAACCTACCAACAAAAACACTTAGATACGCAGACATCGAAGCATTTTTTTCCTTGTTTAGCTACTAATCTTTCAAACCTACCGGCTAAATTGCTTCCTGCTGACATATATTGTTGCCTTATATATGTCAGCGGCTTCGGGGGAGCCAGTTTCACAGAAGTGCTCTGAAATCAACCTTGTAGATTTGGCGGGTAGCGAGAGGGCTGGATCTACTGGAGCCACGGGAGACAGACTTAAAGAAGGTTGCGCCATCAATCAGAGCCTCAGCGCCCTCGGGAACGTCATTTCTGCACTAGCAGACAAAGCAGCTGGGAAACTGAAACCTGGACAGGTAACCAACGCAACGAAGTAGCAGCAATGGCTATTGCCAGTCAGGTTCTGCAGTCAAAATTTTAGTAGATTATACCGTCTGAGTGGCATTACTGAGGTGGAACCAGGCAGGGCAGTACCCGACGTTTCAGCCTTCCCATGGGGTTTCATCACATAGCACATTGGCGCACAGGGCTTTCAGCGAAGAGCACAGGGGCGCATTGCAAGGGGATTTTACGATTTTGCTACGGCATGAATGCAGGTCGTCCCATACCGCGACTCGGCGTTGACACGCATCCTCCAGACTGCACTTGGAGGAAATAGTAAAACGTGCATGATAGCTGCTCTTTCCCCAGCTTCCGTCAATTACGAAGAAACGCTTAGTACTCTCCGTTATGCAGGTGAATGCCAGTGCCACACACACAGAAAATATGCCCATACGGGCTATGTATGCATGCTCTCACTGCAGCAAACGTTTTTGGTTTTGTATTTATTTTCAATTAAGGCACCAGGTGTTACTCTTTCTCAGTAATCTGATATCTTCTTGTTGGCTTCATACGCGGGAATATATAGCGAGTTCCTTGCTTTTGATGCCAATATTCATGCTCAGACAGAGTGAAACAAATTAAAAATGAAGCGGTGGTTAACGAAAACCCTCTAGAAAAGCTTATCCGAGAGTTACGCGAAGAGAATGAACGGCTCAAGAAGGTACGCGGAATTTTCCCTCGAGCGGTATCTGAACAATGAGCGTCCTTCTTGCTACCCAACGCACCTACAATTAGCTCTGGCGTAACCCTGTAATGAAATAAGGGATTGTTTGAAGGTTTGCCGCTCCACATACACAGGCTATGGGGGGTAACCTACCTGCCCCAAGTGGTGGCGGTGAAGCCGACCCTGCTATGTTAGAGGCCATGCGAAAACAGTACGAAGAAGAGATAGAGGCAAACAGGCGGGCTATGGAGGAAATGACAGTACGTCTTTTCGTGTTGGTTGCCTTTCCTTTGCAAGCCACATCTGTTTGAATGCAGGCAAACATAAGTACGCTAACTATTTCGTCGTTCGCCCACTTACTCACACGGTTATTTTGCAGATGTCATGGCAGCAAAAAGTAGAAGAAGAAAAGAAGAGGGCAGCCGCCAGTAGGAAACTGGAAGAACAGGCCGAGTTGACCCTCCCCACTCTACAAAACCTGAACGAAGACCCTTTCCTTACCGGCAAAATAGTGTGCGTGCTAAAGGAGGGATCTAGCACCTTCGGGAAGCAAGAGGGAGAAGAGACACCCACCTTTCGTATTGGTGGTTTGGGCGTGGTAGCAGGTCACGCTACCGTGACATGCAGCAAAGTGCAGAACGACGCTGAAGACCCAGAAGACACATCTTTTTGCGTTATCTTGAAGGCAGTCGGGAAAACAATGGTGAATGGCGTGGAAGTTCAGGAGGGTGAAGAAAGACGGTTGCAACACAAGGACAGAATTCTATTTGGTCACAACAATCTGTATGTGTATATGGATCCACTTGATATGGACAAGGCCATGCCATCGTGGGAGGAGGCAATGAAGGAGGTGAAGAAAGATCAGATGGAGGCATACGGCCAGCCGCAGCAGACTGAAGCAGATAGAGAGAAGGAGAAAAAGTTTCAGGATATGTTGAAAGAGCTAGAGACTGCAAAGAATTCCTTGGAGACGGAAAGACGCGATCTGCTCAAAAAATTGGAGCAGAAGGAACAAGAGCTCCTCGCAAGCGGCGAATCACAGGAGGTGATACAGGAGAAGCTCAAAGAACTGGAGCAGGAAAAACAAGAAATAGAGAGACAACTGCAAAGTAAAGAGGAAGAGTTGTCATCGAGAGAGCTAAGACTACGAAAGGAGCGGGCTGAAGAGGAAGCCAGAAAGGAGGAAGAAAGGGCTGCCAGGATTGAATTGGAGGAAATCATGACGAAAACGTCCCTACTCGTTGACGAGGCAAATATGATTGCTCAAGAGCTGGGAGTTGGGGCTTTCTTTTCCCCTAAACTCACAGTTCGTGGTGATGCCGTCGGGCGTGGTGGTCGAGCAACTATAGGAGGGTCACAGTCAGTAATGCAAAGATCGGAGATTATGATAAGGGTTGATCGGCTAGACTCGGATATCACCCAGCTTTGGTCCTTGGACTTGTTCGAAAGGAAGGTCTTTGAGATGCGAGAAATCTATGCTAATTGGGCACCAGAGCCAGGCCAAGCATTTTCACTACCGGATGACGTGGCGGATCCCTTTGCCATGGATCCAGAATCATATCAGGTTAGACATAGGCCTGGGGTGAGGGACAGGCCCTCCTTCCGGAATCGTGCGTGACATCTTCGTACTGCGGAGATACGGGGTAGAGGAGAAATATATGACTTCGCTGTGAATAGATTGGCTTATCATGCACAAAATTCAGCGAATAGTACAATGTCCAGCAGAGGAGGTGTAGGTCTTACGCCATGAATAGATGACGGTCGCTCTAATGCTTGTCCGTTGATGTATCTCTTCTAGGTAGTGGGTCAAGCCTATGTTTATCTGGATACAATTCGAAACTTGCTTCCAATAGAAAAAGAACCCTTTCCTATATTTGATTCAAAAGGGCAAAAACAGGGGACTCTTGTTGTTTCAATCGACATTCAATTCTCCTCAGCAAGGTCTGAACTGGAAGGGTATGTTCTACAATCAATGGCAGTTGCCATTCAGTCAAACCTCCAGAGTAGCCCGTCGCTGTTTACACGAAGGCGGACGATGCTGTGCCCATTCGGTGCTCCAGAAAAAAGAGCTGCGCGCGTTGTGAAAAACGTACCCTATCCAATGAACGCAAAACTTGCAACGCGGTGTGCGTTTTAAAAAACGTGCCCTATCCAGTTAACGCAAAACGTGCCAAATTTGCGTTTAGAGAAGACGAGTTGGCGGCTCGCCGTATCGAGGACATTGACGATATTGACTCCGTTGAGGACGTGAAAGGGCGCGAGCTGACTATCACCGTCTCAGTGCATTCTGCAAGTAACCTGCCAGAGAAGTCGTGTCGACACCCGCAAGTGAGACTAATAATTGTCGACATATCGACTGATAACAGTTGTAACCATTGATGAAAACCGGCACTACGTGAAGCGAAGAACAAAGCGCCGCCTTGACCGTATCTGTTGTGTAGTCAGAATCATCCTGTGCCAAAAATGTCTTCCATTCGCTGCTGGGTTTCCATTGAATGAGGATCTACGCCAGAGAGCCTCTCGATTTGATACTATTTTGTTTTTAAATTTGGCACGCAGGTCCTATATCGCTGGTTAGACGGAATGACAGAAGTGTCTGCAGTTTCCCTCGAGGAGGCAAGCCGCGATGTCGTCTTCAATAGTGCGAGAGTGAGCAACCTCAGCCAACGTAATGCTTTCGTCAAGCCATTTACATGCACCACGGCACCACTAGTCCGTTACACTTGGTAAGTGAGATTGGCGGGGTGCTAGTGCTTTTATTTTCAGGAGTTCAGTCTTAATGCCAACGATGTTGCAATTGAGTGGCTCTCTAGTGCCCTGATATTTGAGGTAAGTGGAAAGTTCGTCGACAAGACTGGCAAGGGGAAGGGCGACAAAAGCAAAGACATGCGCAAACTTGAGGATGAACTGAGAGAAAAAAAAGAGCTGCTCAAGAAAATTGATGAGGCACTCCGAATGCAAGGGAGGTCATTGGATGAATTGCTACAGAAAGCAGAAGTCGAGCACATTACTGCAGAAGATATGAATGGCGTGAGTGGCCCGAGTGATGACGGCCAAGAACCGCAAGCAGGACTAATAGATGCCAATGCACGTGCACCTCCGATAGAGGTTCAAGAAAATGAAGACAACAAACAGGAAAAACTGAACGAACCATCCAATACAGTGGAAGCAGAACCTCCTGTTCTTCAAGATACGGACCAACACCCAGCAGCAGAAGGGACAGATCAAGCTTCATCATCAAATGGTGACACCGGCAATGCGGGTGAGGCCGTCGTGGAGCACACAGTGGAGTTAGCCCAAGCAGAACAAGATATGCAGGGAACAGCAAGCCCTAAGCAAGAGTCACCGAGCGGACCGATAGAAGAGGCACCAACCCAGCAGGGAGCAGCACCCCCTGAACAAGGGTCATCGAGAGGGCAGACAGAAGAAGCAACAAGCGACGAAGACGATGAATCAGCGTAGCTTACTGGCCGACAGAATACTATCAGTTGTCCCTGGAAATTAGCCTGTGCCCGAAAAAATTTTTCGAGGAGTGGCTTGAGTTAAGCCACTGTTTTGTAGGTCCTGATATTTTGCTAGACAGATGTTTGGTTGCCTTTTGGCCCATTTTGTTTCACACTGACAAGTTAAGGGCGCATAGAGCGGTTAATACAAAGTGGGTGCCACAGAAGGGTGGCCAACGCGGCGAATTTACTTGCATCCTTTTGGGTGCTTGATTACGCGCCAGAGCCTTGACTAAAATACGTACTGGTGAATAGGCTCGCTTTACCAATTCCCTAAAATGTCGCAGCTGCTAAATCAACCTTTTTTAATTATGATTTCTACAACTTGGAAAATTTTCTCCTTGACTAAAATACGTGCTCGTCACATTTTAGGGAAACTGTCGCAGCTCCTTAATCAACCTTTTTTAAATGATTTATACAACATGGAAAATTTCCTTGTAGTGAAATGCACAATACAGGCACAACGAACATCACAATGTAGCCGTTCGGAAAAAACAAGCTATACAGGCAGGGACAACCGGCACTATTTTTCGCGGTGCCATGAAACTTCCAGGCAGCTGTCCACTGCAAACTGCTTCGCTTTGTTAGAACACTGAGTTTCGCTGCTCCGCAAAGCCCTCAGCCGACAAGGGAGGTGGCGAGGCCAGTTTGTCGGTCAGGCAAGAACGGATACATTTGTTGTGCATTATGTTAAAATGCTGAAGACACCAGCCCTTTGACCTTTGCGAGAATACTTGGGAAAGCTCTGTGCATAAGTTTCGGGCGACGACTTCAGAAACCGGACGGTTCGGTGGCTGTGTATTTCCCCATAATCACGTGGCGCAGAAATCTGACGTATGGCTAATGCATCACAGTCGTTTGTTGCTGACTTGGCAGGAGCTCATGACCAAAGCCTCTAACCTGTCACAGACTCCGCACCCCGTAACTCCGCTGTTAGCGAAGCCAATGGCATTTCTTCTTCCGGAGTGTGGTGAAAGCAATGCGCACTAAAATGTTGAATTTGTTTGCACAGCTTGATCTCCAGTCAGCCAAAAGGGTACAGCACTTAGAAAGTAGGTTTGGTGCCCAGAGCTCTAAGCGTAACTGGCGTCGCACTGAATCTGCCATGAAATTTCTGCCCTTGCATTATACAACTAGCAGAAGCAGTAAGGCAGAGGGAATAGGATTGGAGACGTAATTGTAAACGCCGTTGAAGCTTATTGATATACAATGCTTAAGCTACTGGCAATTATCAAGCAGCGTGTGCGGCATCAAAGATGCGGCATCAACTAGCGGGGGCATGAACACGTGAATTTACTTCACATTTTTGGTGGGGAAACAATGGTTCTTGAGACCTTCGCGGCGATACGCTGCGAAACGCCAGACACTGCAGAAGCAGCGCCTTATTTAAATGCAATAACTTAAGGTTTGCTAGCTGTCGCTGTCTGTATCAGACTCCGAATCGGTGCTTCTGCGTTGAGCTAACGCTGGTGCTAGAAGAAGTTGGAGGTCAACCTTCTCTACACCTGTAAATTGTACAGACTGTCCTCGTCGTCGTGGATGATCAATCTCCTCTTCATGCCCAACGTTAGAAAATGATGCTCGCTGCAATTGCGGTGCAATAGGGATAATTCGCAGGCTTCTACGGGGCTGCTGTGGAGGAACAAATGTCTGAGGGGCCCTCATGCTCGATCGCCTTGGCGCTGTAGTAGTTTTGGGTTCCGCAACCTGATGAAACTCCTCTGCGGAAGAATTAACTGCAGTGATTGCTCTTAGCGGGAGGTGTGTGGTGCTTGTTGCCGACAACCGTCCCGGTGTAGCAGCTGTTGCAGTATCGGTTGAAGGCTCCAGATGAGTGCCTGCAATGATTGCAGCCGTCCCTGCACAGGGCCGTGAGGTCTCCTCTATGTGTTCGGCCCTCGAAGTACCAGCTTCTTGACCTTGATGCTTAGCAAAGAACTCGTTGTCAGTGTGCAGGTGATGCTCATTTGCCGTTGCCATTCCCTCGTCTATTAGCTCAGTGATGCATTCGCTTATTTCACTGCGATGCAGTAGCAAATTCTGACGTTGCTGCTGCTCTTCTTGAGCAAGTCGTTCGCTCGTCGAGATGGAGGGCCGATGAGTTCTGGCTGGAACTTCCGGAATTGCTTGCCTTTTGCCGTGGGGTCTGGATAAAACCCCACATGCTATGCGCTTCAAACAGCCTTTGAGCCTATCTCGCCTCTCTGGATCCAACTTCAGCGTCCCTAGTTGTGCTAGGGCAGCGCTTTTCTGGACAAACGACCCTCCAGTCTTCGTCCCACGTTTTCGGCGAAGGGTACTGCGGCGGCCTTCATTCTTCGAGCGTTTCCTCGAGCAAATTGGCCCCGACGTTTCGAGAAGAAAGAGTAAGTGCTTCATGTATCTGAGTTGGTCGGAAACACTTTTGCGTTGCAGTAATCTTTGCGTCCTCCAAAATGCTTGAATTTGCAGAGCCGCGAGATATTGCAAGATATTGAACTCCGCCAACACATCAGCATCGCTGAAGCGGCTTATCCATGCACTTACAAGCCTTGGATTAAGTTCTACAGTTTGCTGGCTCTGAACAGCTTCGAACGAAGCAAGAGGCCCTCTGCGCTGGGCGTGCGCCTCGCATGCACGGCACGTGGTTGTGAGCACCATGTCTCTGATGTGCACACTGTTTTTATAAACTGGAAGAGGATAAGCAGATAAATTTGCAAGAATAGCCTGCATCCGGCGAGTCCCCAACTCAACATATAGGTCCTTGAAGCCTATTGGCGGTGGTATTTCTGCCAAAACCTGCACCGCTACGTGGATCGGCAGCCAGCTGAGCTTCATTTCCCGAAGTCTCCACTTATTGAGCAACTCTTGTTGCTGCTGGGCAACCTTCCAAAGGGACTGATTGCGCTTTGCATCAACGTATCCCTTCAACACAGTGCTTGTGAACAAATTCATCAGCAATAAAAATGCCACAGAAACAAACGATATTGCGTAAGGCAAAATTGACCACCCTAGCACTGCCGAATCCTTTGCACAGTAGAAAGCACGGATCTTCAGCATGGTGTCATGCCAAACCTCGCCAGTAGAGAATGACAGGAGCAAGAGAAAACTCTCCCCAAGCGATGCAAAAGTAAAATGCTGATCTGTCTCTACACGTGCGTCGTAGAACAAACATGTCCCAAACAATCCGTAAAAAAAGATAGTGATGAAGAGAAACAACGCAACCCTGCAGAGGGAGCCAACCACATTAAACAAAGATATAGAAATAATACGCATCACAGGAAGATGATTGCAAACTACATAGGCAACCCGAATCATCCTGAAGGCAACGGGCCAGAGGGGTTCTGAAGGGAAAGCAGTATGCAGGGAAGTAGTTAGCCCCACAAGTAGGGCAATCAACGAGCTTCCTGCAACCGCTAGGTCCAAAATGTAGATGCTCTTCTGAAAAAGGGCCATTTTAAAAACAGCGAGCCTGACACATTGTTCCATAACGTACGCTAGGACAACAATTGCATTTATCCAAAAAATCCATTTCTGGTAGCTAGGAAAAGACCACCGCACATCGGTCTCAGCCCACGCCCCCGCTACTAACATTGTCAAGCAAGATAAAAAGGAAATTACTGCCACCGCCACATCGAACGGCGCGCTGGTGATGATTCGCCTTAGCCATTCTCTTGCATCAAGTCCCTCATTATACTTGGTGCCCCCTCGATTGTCGCCACCGCGGTGTTCAACTATCTCGGTTATAAGGCTCGAAGTAAAAATAGCCCGTTGCATTTCGTTCCAACGAAGGACTGTTGAGCTCCTGACTCCCCCAGTGTACTCCAAGTTTGCCTGTTCTTGATCCAACACATCCACAATAATACCAACGAACAAATTTACAACAAGAACGCTAAGCACAGCAACCACAAGAATGCAAAGGATAATCGTAATCAGGCGGTAGCGCTCTCCGAGGTCCAGAAAGTCCTTCAGGATGCCCGGCCAGCCTTCAGAAGTGGTCAGAATAAATACGCTTAAGAAGCTTTCGCCAAGGCTTGTGAGATTGGCGTACTCCAAAGGCACTTTTGAAGGAACACCTGCTACTGGCTGGAGAAAAAATCGAAGGTTGAGAACGAAAAATATGACAAGCAAAACAAAGATGAAACACAAGCGAAATATTCGGCGTAAGGCCACCTGCATTGCAAGGACCAATCTGTGCATCCCCGTGCCTTTGAAAAGACGCAGGATCCATATGCCGCGAATCACGCGCGTACATTGCGCAAATCTGAAATAAACGCTATCCACCATTATGTCGTTCACCTCGTCGCTGCTCAGTGAAAGCGCGGCAGTCACGAGCGACCAACCAGCAGCTTGAAATACTAAATCCAACCAGTTGGAACGAGAGCGGAAAAAGCTAGCTTTTTTGCTAAAGCAGACGCGTATCAAAATATCCAGTGTCAATATTATTTGAAATCCCATTTCCGTGAAGCCAAACACCCGCCTAAGGGAAGATTCCCTCTTCATGGACGAATTGACAACCAGTTCCAAGACAGATGCACTTTGGATAATTAGCCTTAACCAATCCATGCCGGTGATTCCGCATACTTTCTGAATGTGTTCGACAGCAGCGCGAAATTTTGAAATTGCGAGCTGAATGCCTCTTGGCAGGTGGTGGAATTCCTGCTGCCGCATGCCCACTTCTACATTACGTGGACGGAAGCTGCTGCTAACCGTTGATCCCGACTTGTTTGTTAATTCTGCTAGTGAATTGACTCCTTTTGGACTGAGGTCCGTCTTCGTGTTGTCGCTCGTTGAGCTGGCCAAAGGGTGGGAAAGCACGTCACAGTCGGCACTAACCAGATTTCCAGCGTACGCTAAGTACAGCAATGGACTATCTGGGTCTGTCGGTGAAATCTGCGCTAGCCCTGCAGCTGCTGTTGCTCTCAGGAAGACTTTGCCCTGGTGTACGGCCTCCTTAACTGCACTCCAGCACATTCTGGAGAGCTCTGTTATCGACAGTTCTTCCTCTTGGGTATAATAGCTTGCTGCAAGCAGCACACAGCAAAATCTAATGAAAAGCACTGCTCGGGAAGCAGACAGGATGTGAAAATACTCATTGCTAGGGGAGCAGTCAGTAGAACTGACATCCTGGTTGGCGAAGTGCCAAGGCAGGCGAGCGCTCCTTCACCCAGAGAAAACTCATCCTCGGTCCTAAGCTGCAATCTAGAAAAGGCCAAATCGTAACCAGTGATTCGTAATAAGACACAGGTGGACCCTCAGGCTGCAGCTCCACTCACCAGCTGAACAATATTTTGAGCCAGCGTAAGCATCAGGCAATATTACAGTGCTTTCATCCGGAGCGAATTTGACGGCTGTCTTGTTGGTCGTTTCCAGTTTCACACCGTTAGCAATGATGTCTGAAATTCGAAAAGCGCTGCGTTCATCTGCCTTCTGAATGTTTGAGCCATTTTCATCGTTGTTCAGGAACAAGGAACCTGACTCTTGCTTGGTTCTCTTCGCCACTTTTTCTGTGGAGTGGTCAAATAATTGTGGAATGCCACGTTCGGCGGCAGCCTTGTCGAAAAGAGTGTCGCTTATTAGCGATCTTTTCTGAGGCCTCTCTGAAGAGAAAGAAATAACACTGTTGGTGTTGCTGCTGCTCCTATCTCGTCCCAATGAGATGCTACTAGAACTCGCCCTTGATGCCATACGGCTACTCTTCCGAGCAACTGTCTTGCAGATATCTAGAACGACTGACGTCTTGTGAGCGAATTCTCCTAGTGCCTTTGCAGACTTTTCTCTGTCTGACCCTGCGATGCGTGACAAAGGAACAGCAGACACCTTTTTCGACTTTGAGTTCCTAAAAAAAAGCAGTCCAGTTCAGCTGGCCAAAATGCACAGGCCTACTGCACTGAAGCTTTTTGGCAGTGCGGGACGTGGCATGCGTCTCTAGAGAAAAAATCCCACCGACAATGATAGATTTTATAAGCTCATCTCGTTGCTCGTCTGTGCGCATGTTGGCATGCGTGTACAGTGCCTGCGCCTTGTGACCCTGAAGCGCGTCTTCCGCAGGCATCGGCACTCCAGCGTTACGACAAACGACAATAAATTTCGCTGCGTATTTCACGCTGAGGGTCTTTTGTGTTTGAATAAACTGGCTGATCAGGATCGCTCCATACAAGTTAAACAGTAGACAGTGTAGGAAAAGCACAGCAAAATACAGGAACGTGCTTATTGATGCCACCCGAGTTGGGGACGACAGGATAATGTCGGACAACTGGTTGGCGTCAAAGGTGAGATCGTCCACATCTTCGCCGTATACAAGACGTATTTCCTTGAAGAAAAGGTGCCATGATTCTCCTGTGAGGATAGTGAGAAAAAGGAGCACGGCGTTCCCGGCACTCTGAAAGTTGAAGTATTTCGTCAAGTTGAGCGAAGCATCATTTGCTCGGACAGATGTATATTTGGGGTCGTAAAAGAAGGACAGGCCTAGCTGGGACACGACGACGCAAGAATAGAAGAGCAACATCACATAAGGTATCAAGGAGTTATGCACAGACCACACCATCTCGGCTGTCAGCCTCAACGGACAGAAACACTTAACTACTTTGAAGATTCGAAAAGGGCGCATCAATGCTGAAATAACAGCTAATGTTCCTAAAACTCCGTCAGATTCTACCGATGTCGCTCTGCAGCCACTGATAGTCGGGCACAATACAACTGCTAGCAATCCATCTAAAATGGCCAGAAGGCCAATCAGTACGTCCAGGAAGATGAAACCGTTCTTCATACCCCGTCTACCAAATGCCAGTAATAAAACTATTGACTCGACAACGAACATTGTACTAGTGAATAGGTCCAGAATAGAGAGCAGCCCGCCAGTTTCCCTCCCACTCTGAGCAAACAGGACGCCGGTATCAATGAAAACGAGAATCATCAGCACGGGAGAGGTTGCCCTGTGAGTCGCTAAACGAAGCGCAAACGCCCTTGCGCTCATGTAGGCAGATTGGATGCGTTTCTTTTGTTCTGGGAACCGGATATCAACCGCCCTTCTGATCCAGTCTCTGCCCATGTACCAATAGCTGGAAATTGCCTTTGTGAAGCTTGAACCAAATAAGCTTTCATCTACTGCTGCATCATCTGTATCCACTGGAGGAACTGAGCGGATCAAGTCGCCAACGTCGTCTTTGATTTGGCTCAGCTCTACCATGAGGTACTTGATCCAGTCCGTCCCTAGCAGCTGGTACACCCTCCATTCAGATTCCTTTAAGATTGCGGGGCGGGCCACAGACACATCATTGGCAGCGTCAAAGGCTTCCCACAGGACTGCAATGCCTAGATTCATAAGTAACATGCTCCCGATGATCACCATGAGTGGAAACGTTATATATGCTACAGCTCCGTTACTGCGGTGATCACCGTTTGCAAGACTCTGCATTGTAGCGGACCATCCTTCCTGAGTGAACCCTTGAAGGAGAGCTACTGCGGCGGCTCCTAACGTTTGGACACCAAAAGCTCCATAGCCCGCCTGTTCATTTGTCTGCAGCTCTTGCCAGGCCCTGTCCTGAAGACGTTTGCGCTCGTGGGCGGTGCAGGAAGAAGTCACCGAATAGAGGAAGAGATTGCGGCAGTGCGTGCTTCCTTTGCAGGGAGAGATGAAGTTGGAGCAGAAGAGAGACTGAGACTCGTCAAGGTCCCAAAAAAAGCTGTCTGCAGAACATGAATCGCTTGCCTGGACCTCGGGTGGTAGTGGTAAATCCGGATAGCAACGATACCAGCAAGTGAAGCCAAAGAAATGCAGCAGCACGACTAGTACTAGTAGGGAAAAAACTACTATGAAGATGCATACAGCTGCAAGGTCATTAGCGCTGCGAGTTAAGTGGATTATGGTTAAGCGAAATGCACGGCAGATCCTTAGGATTGACCACGCCCGCATATTCCGGAGGACGGAGACAATGGCGAAGGCCACTGGCGCATACGTCCACCAGCCCACTTCGACTCCAAGGTTGTAGACTAGGTCAGTTGTAATATTCAGTAAGAAGAATAAGTCAAGCCACCCAGACCATGTACGAAAGTATGCCCGCCTGGTTGACCAGAGTCCCCGAGAGCACGCTCCTGTTGTCACCAGGCAGGCGAAGCCGATGAACGCAGGAAGGCGCATCCCCCAAAACAAAGCAAGAGAACTCACGTTCATAGCCTCCAAAGAAGTTCCAATGCAGTCCAGTATGACACACAGAATAAGCAAAGTCCTAGATAGCTGCGAATTCCGCACTTTGAAGCAGAATAGTGCCCAGGGCCCGCGGGCCGCTGCGAGTTCTGCAGGACCAAGGACCACATTTGTACTGGAGGAAAGAAACGAGCTCATTGCCCGGCTACGACTGCTGCTGAGAGGAGCATCCGTGCGTTCAGTTCCCTGTGTTGCGTAACTGTTAGTTTGTGCAGCCTTTGTACTGGGTGCGCCATCCAGCAACCCCGCGTCGAGAGATCGTGGATCGTTGACCTCCATTGTGCAATTTTCAGCAGCCAGCACAACACACGTGTTGTGTTCCTCGGCGCCACTTGAATCCGCAGAATTATCAAAACTGCTGGAGATGAACAATGTACCCTCATCAGTGGTAGAGGCTGGCCATCAAGTTCCCATGGAGGTGACCTCCAATGCACCAAGGAGGTTCTGTTGCACAACAGCCTCTCATCTATTTTTCCCGTGCTGGTTGTCTCCCGTTGTCAGCGGGCATCCCTTGTCTGGGGGCAACCCCCGGAGCAAGCCATCTCAAGTATTCGCATGGTCCTTTGACCGAAGACTGGTTTCACCAGTTGGGAAACACACTCAAGGAAAGTCAAGCATGTGCAGTGGAACTTTGTCGGTGTAGTTTCTTCACCTGTAGACGACGCCAATGCCATTAAATTCAAAAGAGACGCACTGAAACTTGGTCTCTCGTGTATCCCCTGCCTGCACTGCAGGTGACCCCACCTTGGAGCTTCCACCAGAAATTAGATCGTCGGTCAGAGGCTGCAAAGAGATGAAATAGCCAAACAAAAAAGTGGATGGGTGTTCTCGATGAATACATTGAAGCGGAAGTATTGTGCTGATTTTTACGAGGCCTCTGTCTCCTTTTCTTGGGCTTTCGCAGAATCCAGGGTTCGCTAGTGTGCGCAATAGTCTTATCATGGGCCTCATACACTAGAAATTATCGTGTGACCGCTTTTAACCCTGTCTATTAGATATAAGATGCTGGAGGCACACTTATGTTTATCTGTCCCTGTGGACGTAGCGTGGATGGCCTGGACCACTTGACCGACCATGGGGCTGCCCGCATGGGTCACCACGCGTCGATTATTCGCCTCTGTTTACACTGCATCGGGAAGCTCTATGTTACTTTTGCCTCCTTTTTCAAAGTAGCTTTCAACGTTTTCCCAGTGGAGTGTTGCACGAGACAAACACGTGCATCGGTGCGGGAAGTCGCCCCGAGCGTAGCCCACGCTTGCAATGGACTCGAGTTAAAGTACCTCCCCGGAGTGCGATACTCCCCTTGTAACGCTTCCTAGGCACTTGAACGAAGTGTATCAGTAGAAAGTGTTCACTTGAAGTGTGAGCACGAGGGTCTGACTGCGGATAAGGGAGCAAGAAATGTTTATTCTTTAGGCCGCGATTCTCTCTAGTTTCTGTGGTGAAGTTGCAAAAGAGCAACAGTTCTTCTTTCTCCACTTTTGAGAAAGCTTATATGAGGATTTTTGGCTCTGCGTTCGGATGCACTTGACCCTCTTCTAAACCACCGGCTGCTGTGCCAATTACATCCACCTGTTGCTCTTGTTGCCGCACGGTTCAAATGCACTTGATGCGTCCGTATGGAGAAAGGCTAATAAAATGCTCAGGATCTGGACAGAGGACAAATGTAGCGTTGCCTATTTGAAGTTGGCATGCGCATTTCGACTTGCGTGTGGGTTGACTACACGGTTCCAAGCCAGTATTTAACAGCGGCCTACAGTGTTTGTCCGCGCATTAAGAGGATGGCTGGGAATGATCGATTGTGGGGTTGCTTTTAAGCTGGAATTGCAGCAAGCAGCGCTACAGGTCAGAGCATGATGTATCTACCCTTTGCCAGTCCCACTGTGCCCAAGGGTGCTAGAGACTTCCAGAAAAATCAGTTTCTTTTTCCTGGCAGAAAAAGCAAGACAGTCCTGTTCTTCGCTAAAGGACTGTAGGTACAGCGAGCACAACGTCTTGTAAAGAATGACAATGAATTGCCGGTTTATAATTCATAGTCTTTTGGCTTGTAAGCATGTTTTGGCTTGTAAGCAGGACTTAGACATATGGAGAGGTACACGTTGATGTTCGCACCTAGAAAAAACTCGGAGGTTGGTCAGTTTTCGGTAACCACCCCGCAACCAATGCGCACTTCACCGGTCCCGTTCAAACTGTCAAAGGAACAGGCACAGAACCACTTCTATTTCCACATTGACGCTTTGGGCTAGTGTACCATTTTCCTCAAGGAGGGTTTCAGACCCTGCGGTGATACAGTTTGGAGCGATAGTGGTGTCGAAGCAGAACCCTGTTGCGCGTACTCCAAAAGCAAAATGAAAAACGTTTCTGTCGACAACTATTCAAGCGCCGTCCTTGAGATTACAAGAAGGTTCTGTCCGGTGTATCGACGCACGGACAACTGGTCCAAATGCTTCCTGAGGGAATGCCACTTGCATTGTCCTGCAGTAATGTGGGGACGCGGTGTGCTAGTCCCGCTCCCATTTGACTTATTCCTGCTGTAGCAATTTGCAGTTACTCAATAACCTGTTTCATGTTCTAGCCCATGGACATAAAAGAGTGCCGTAGAAAATCCAGTATGTGGAAAACACTGCATTGGGTTTACGATGGGTTGCTGTTTGTTCGTACATCCTGTTGAACAACGGCACGATTCCTATCCGTAGGCTAACGCGGAAAGCTTTCATTTTTGGGGAGACTATATGTAATTTTATATCTCATTTTGCTTAAAATGTGGAGGCAAGACAGTGCTGAGTGAAGCCGTAGCCAGTTCAGTGTAGGCCGAAGCGCAAAATGCGCAGGGTGTGATTGCGCTCAGCGGAAAGGCATGCAAGAGCCATGATTCACAACCCAAGTGTCTGTAAGATATATAGGCCAAGTAGGTGAGACAGACAATGCTCCGACAATGGATGGATGAAGTCAGGACAGAGACTGCTGTTGCCCTTTGGCGCTCTATCGAAGGATATGGGCATGGTGAACTCCCCATGAAACCTATGAGCCATCCTTTAAAGGCAACTTCACAGATAGTTGAACTTAAACCAGGGCAGTATAGTGCTCGTTGTTGCTGCTGCTAGAAGTGCATGCCTCGATGAAGGCCGGGCTTGCCCCAGAATGGTCCAGGCAGCTGTAGCCGTGTGATCATGCGGCAGCATTGCTTGCCATGCACATCCTGATCCATATAACAGGATTCTACGTTAGAAAAAGCTAGGGAGTTAGTTGAAGCTTGTGCGGTGGGTCAGCAGGAAACTTCTACGAGACAGCGAGTATGTGCTTCTCGGGGCTCGAGCGACTCCTGGTGCACGGACACAGCGCCCACAGCAGCTCCGCTGGCTCCAAGACACTAACGGGATCTATTTATTTACTTTCCGTGCTGTTTTATTTAAGGCGCTTGCATGATTTCTTGTCTTTGACTGAATGTTTGGCATCTTAGTGCTAAAGTCTCCACCAGGTGACCCGTGATGCCACCCTGATGTGGAACAGCAGTGGTTTCCAGAAATTCACGGACCAGAATTTATCAGGTCACACAATCCATACTCTAATGGAAAAAAAGTTATGATTGCATAATACGGGGAGAACAAACTACTCGTCTGATGTCTTCCTTCATTAGTCAGTATTCAACATCCCGTGAAGAGAAGTCTAGACGCATTTTTGGCACCCCCAAACGCGGAGAACTAAAAAATAGCCTATGGTGCTTCTTTGTTCCACCTGTTGTATTTGAATCCCAAGTGAAACGCCACTAGCCGTCGGATTTGAGGGTCACTTCTGAACAGTGTTGGTCCACTGGCCTCTGTACGCTGCATGTGATTGAGCACCGCCACAATGAGCAAAGCAAAGCCAATTCCGTTAGACAAGGCACCAGTGATTCCTAAGCGCATGACTGGTCACAGGCGCTCTTCTCTAGCCCTCTACTTTAGGGGAGAAGATGCTCAAGAGAGCGATGAAGTGCAGGTACGCCGTCCCCAGAACGCCACCGCGGAGTTCGGGCTTCAAACTCTCGCGAATAGTTTTTCAAAAGACTATTTAGCCAGAAGGGATTGACTCACCGAAGCTCACGAGCAATTTGGGCATTGATGGACCTTCATTGCTCGCCAAGCATGTGGTTGCCTTGACGAACCAGCCCGATCTTGCCAGTGTCAAAGACGTACTACGGTTTTCCGCTATTACCTGAGCTTCCCTACAGGCCAACCAACGATTAAAGCCGAAGGATCAAGTACAGCTGACTCCGGAGGAACTTCGTCAACGCATGCCTCCCAAGATTTTGTATCCCCAAAATCCCCGCGCCCCACAGAACATTACACGCTTCTCTTTCAAAGAAAATCAATTCAAAAAGGAGGGTGCAGTTGAGCAAACCGTTTTTCATCTTTTCATTGACAGGTAGCCGACGGATCACGACAGGAACCAGCGGACATGACGGGGAATAACGTTTCCCATTGTCCGTGATTCTCCAAACCAGCGGCCTTGTTGTTTATGTGCCTGGTGCAGCACCTTGCTCCTGAAAGATAGTCCGGAGGCTGCAGAGCAAGAGGAACTCCTGAGGCTCCGAGACGAAGCTGAGGAGCGCCGACGGGAATTGGAGGCTGTAGAAGTGTCAATTGAAGATGACGGAGGTTAGTAATAGTATTGACGGGAGCTCTACTTGCATCACTGCCACGACGCCGTACATTTTCCTTGGGTACAGTGTTTGCAATGGCACTACCTCTGCCCCTTCTGGCAACGTAAGAGAAAGTTAATGTTTGGTGTGAGTCTGTGCAGCGACACAGGAAGAGGAAGGCAGGGTCATGCGCAACCAGTTCAATAATGTGGATAGAGCCACACAGATCAAAAGCTGCCCCACAGTGTAAAAAGTCTACTGCTGCTCTCACCTTTGTGCTTTGCCACCCCTGTTTGCGAATTCCATGCAACGGTGGATGAGCGATGGAACTGACCACGTTGATCTGCTGCCTTGATTCTGCAGCGAACAAAGTTGCTCAACGTTGCCACCTCCGAAAAAGCTGTGTTGTGGAACGGGTATGTATGAGGGAATGACTCAAACTGGCGGTGGTGCTTTATTGTAAAATGTACTCCTGGTATATCACGTATTAGATTGTTCAAGCTGTCAGGAAGGTAAGTCGGTATGCAAAGCCCTACATCGCCAAATCTTGTGGGGCGTACATTACGAACTTTTCAGCGAATTATTGGATGATATGGGACGCCTATGTGAAGGAGGCTGAAGCACAAAGCCGAAAGGAGAGCGAAACGAAGGTACATCCTCAAGGCAACTAACTGTGGTTCCCTGAAGCGTGCAGCATCGATTCAGCACATGGACTGCACTGCGCTGCTTGCTAGATGCTCTGTATGCCTTTATTGGGTTGTTAGCCGGGGGATAGGCACCAGTTGAAGCTGCGGCAGCATGACTCAGCTCGAAACCTTGTGAATTCGGACAAGTTCAAGTGGTCCCTTAAGGTAATTCGCCAACCGAATCTTCCACTACCATTTGAGAACTGTCACTGTACTCAGAGTGATATAATGCGCGTTGCACGGGTAGCCCCGTCAATGGCATAGTCGTTAAAGTGGGTACCACGGGAAAGCGCATCCTCTGCCGAATCACTTGGAATACAATGCCACATCTACAGTAATGCCCCTCTACTGTGCCTCTGCAGATCCCTACAGCATAGCCCAACCTCTACAGGCGGGGTTCTGCTGAAGAAACTTGGTCATGCATTCAGTCGAATAGCCTGAGGGATGCAGCAAGCCTTTGCCGTTCGAGTAGAGCTCGCATGCTTGTGCCAAGCTTCATGTGATTCAGGTGTTGGAACGTGTTGTGAGCTTCAACGCTCAGCAAGAGGCTTATCGGATCTTTCAGTCTACAGAGGAAGAACCCGCTGACGTTCCACTGACGGTCACTCCAATCTGGGAGTTTCGGTTTCCCCGAGCTAAGGGGAAAGATGCCATGGTCCTCCGGTGGAATCCACATTATCACGATCTTCTGGCTGTGGGCTTTGGTTAGTGACGGATTGTGTAGGGGCATAGCCATCGACCTCCCACTGCTGGCTAGTCACCTGTTGGTCATGCATATTGTAAAAGTCTTTATTTGTTCCGTTGCTAAACATCCGTAGCTCTAGATGACTCTCTCACTTGCATTTCCAAAACACAGCTGAATTACACCGTGGCATTCGGAAAGGCCGCGCTTTTGGTGTTATTCGTGCTTAGGTAACTACGAATACGTCAAACAAGGCTGTGGCTACGTCTGCTGCTTCTCTCTGAAGAACACGTCGCATCCAGAATATTTTTGGAAGCTTGATTCTGTTAGTTTTTCTGGCAGCAGATGTGCTATTTTGATTGCAAATGAAATGCATTCAAACCTTTTTGAAGCTTCGACAGCTCTATGTTTTCCGTATTGCAAATGTTGGGAGTGGGGGCATTGTGCTCTACTACTGAACAGCTAGCTGTATTTGACAATGCGGTGCGGTGCAGAAAGTATGCAGCCTCGACTGGCATCCCCTGCAACCATCACTATTGTGCGTAGGCCTCTACGATGGCAATGTTGCAGTTCTTGATGCAACATCTGCAAGCAAGCGGCCATGGCACTATTCTACAGTGAAAACAGGGAAACATACAGATCCCGTTTGGGACGGTATGCTTGTAGTATTCTCGCACTCCCTGATGAGAACAGAAATTTTAGCAACTGGCTTACATAAGTGGAGTACTGCAAGAGGGAGCAGAAGTAACTTATGCTGCTGCAACGTACTTGTGAAATTACTTTTGTGGGTGCTTCGCATGTTTGTGTTCAGTGTGTTGGGAGGCCGATTCTGCTACAAGCCAGCTGTCGTTTTTTTCAGTATCAGCAGATGGCCACATTATGCGGTGGACTTTACTCAAGAGCAAGCTTGAATCAGAAGTTGTAAGGAGCCATAAAACGCAATGTTAACCCAGAAAATCGTTCCAAGCTGTTATGTGACACGCTGCAGGAAGGCGGCCGGGGGGGGG